GCTGCTGACCGGGGCCAGCCTGGGGGCCTGGTGCCCAGAGTAAGTGGGTACAAGTGGATCAGGAGTCCCTGTGGGTCCCCAGCCTGCGCCATGGACACCTGGGAGGAAAGGCCTAGCGTGTCCTTGGTGTCCACAAATTCCAAGGCCCCTCAGGTACTGGTGTGTGTGTGTGGGTCCCGGTGGGGCGGGTGAGGGAGCCAGGGACGGAGACAGAATAAAACCACTTTGTGTGTATAGGGTGAGGCTCCACCCCTGGCACTTCCTCTTTCTCTGTGTTCTTCCTTTCTGTCTGTCTCAGCCTCTCCCCTCCTCGTTCAAGGCTTCTGCCTCCCCGTCTCCCCACTGCCAACTCCTCTTCTGGTCACTCACCCCTCCAGGCCACCATGTCGGCCCAGGACAGCTGCCTCAGCCTCATCAAGTACCTCCTCTTCGTTTTCAACCTCTTCTTTTTCGTAAGTTGTCTCATGGCTCTCCAGCCCGGGCCCCGGGCCCCGCCGTCGCCGCCCCACCCCACCCCACCTCGTATCCCCACTTGCCCACCACCACCTTCTCCTCTCCTCTCCGAAGGTCCTAGGCAGCCTGATTTTCTGCTTCGGGATCTGGATACTCGTGGACAAGACCAGCTTCGTGTCATTTGTGGGTGAGGGGGCCAGGGCAGTCGGGGCGGGCCTTCCTGGAACAGCATGGACCCGACCTCCCAGCAAGTAGCCTCCCGGGGCCTCCCTTGCCCCAGGGAGCCCCTCGGTGCCCATTCTGCAGGCAGGTCCCGGGCCCTGCAAAGCTGGCCACTCCTATGCCGCTCCAAGCCTCAGTGTGTTCCTCTGACAGACAGTTGTGCGGACGGACCACTCAGAACAATAATAGTCATTTCTTAGGCACTTCCTATGGGTCAGACCTTGTGCAAACGCCCATCAGATCCTCCCCACAAACCTTTCCTGAGGTTCAGAGAGGGGGAGTCACTTACTGGATGTCACACAGCAAGGAAGTAACACAGATATAACACTAATAATAATAATAATAATAAATAATAATAATAGGAAAATAATACTGGGGTAATAGCCAAACTCCTCATGGTTCCTAGTTCATGCGTTTGCCCTGGGTTGAGGACTGGATTGAACACGTAGCTCCCAGGTCCCTCAAAGCAACCCCAGGAAATAGATAGCATTACCCCTAGGCCGCAGGGAGGTTAAAGTGACTCATCCGATCTTGGCAGAACAAGTGATGGGGCTGAAACCACGGGGAGTGGGAAGGAGCTGGAGGAGGAGAGAGACTGAGAGCGAGAAGGAGAGGCTGAGAGCTGAAGGGAGGAAGAGGGACAGAGGCTCAGAAAGAGAAGAGAATCCCAGAGGAGAGGGACAAAGGCTCAGGGTGGGGCAGGGCCGGAGGCCCAGGAGCCCAGAAAGAAGCCCCCAGGACACTGCTCTCCTCCGGCGTGGGTGGGGATGGGGTTGGGGGCTGCCTGGCGCTGTGCACATCAGACTCAGTGTGGCTGCCTCTCCTCCCCTAGGCTTGTCCTTCATGCCCCTGCAGATCTGGTCCAAGGCGCTGGCCATCTCAGGGGTCCTCACCATGGGCCTGGCCCTGCTGGGCTGCGTGGGGGCCCTGAAGGAGCTGCGCTGCCTCCTAGGCCTGGTGAGTGCCCGCCCCGCCGCTCTCCATCCCTAGGACCCCTCCCCCCTCCCCTGGGCAGGGGCTCAGCCTGACCTCTCCACTCTGCCCCCCAGTATTTTGGGATGCTGCTGCTCCTGTTTGTCACCCAGATCACCCTGGGGATCCTCATCTCCACTCAGAAGATCCGGGTAAGCTTGCCTGCTCCCCCCTAACACCCTCCCCCACACACACACCCCGCCTTCCGCAGCTAGTGGGTGGACTTGGAGGGGGTGGGGTGGAAAAAGACGTAAACAAAGGCAGACAGGGACCGACAGACAAATAACAGAGAAGCAGGGGAGAGAAACAGCCGCGAGGACAGAACAAATACAGAGACTGAGAGAGAGAGACACACACAGAGAGGTAGGGACAGGGAGAGGCAGAGACCCGCACAGACGGAAGAAGAGAGACCTGAGATCCAGAGGGAAGGAGAGAGCGACACGCAGAGAAACGGGCTCTGAGGAGGAAACAGAGACCTAAGGAGAAATGGTGGGAAATGATGAGAGAGCCAGAAAGACGGTAGAAACGGGCAGAGAACGATTTTGAGGAAGAGACACAGGTAACAACCATTCAGGGAGGAACCGATGCTCAGGGACCCCTGGGGTCGGCGCAGATGGGGGGCGGGGGGGGGGAGGCAGGTGGGCGTCCAGCCTCACTCTCGGCCTCTCAGCTGGAGCGGAAGGTGAAGGACCTCGTGCAGGAGACGATCCAAAACTACCGCTCGGACCCGGAGAAGTCCGCGGCGGAGGAGAGCTGGGACTACGTGCAGTTCCAGGTGCGTGAGGCCCCCTCCGGGAGGAGCAGCCGCCCTCTAGCTCCGCCCCGAATGTACCCCCACCTGCGCACCCCACTCCCGCCACGCCCGCTGGGGCCCCGCCCTCCGATGATCCCATAACTGGCCCCATTATGGCCCAGTTCCCCAGCTCCCTGCAGACCCTGGAAAGGCCCCGCCCTCTGCCTCGACAGGACCGGCCCTCACCCCCAAGGCCCTTAGCATGACCCCAATCCCCGCCCCTAGCGACTCTGGGTCCCACGGGACCCGGCCCACGTGCGACTCTGTTCTCTGGTCACTCTTGTGGCCCCGCCTCCCCATCCACCTGCTCCCAAAGGCTGAATGCACTGCCCACCCAATTTGTGGTCCACAGCGTGATTTTTTTGCAGCTTCTCCTCTAGCCCCAGGTCGCCCCGTGATTCGTCTCTCCCAACCCCATGTTCCCCTGGTGTCCCTTGACCCTGTCGTGACCCCAGCCCAGCCCACAGCCCCCACCCTGCACCCATTACTCGGCCCCCTGCTCCCACCTTGACCTCATACCATGACCCAGTCCCCTGATCCCCCAAACCAGTGGTCGGCAAACTCATTAGTCCACAGAGCCAAATATCAACAGTTCAACGATTGAAATTCCTTTTGAGAGCCAAATTTTCTTAACTTAAACTATATAGGTAGGTACATTGTTATTAACTTAATTAGGGTGCTCCTAAGCTGGCCTTGGCTAAAAACGTCCTCAATCTGATTGAGGTACGTTCGCTGAGGTCGACCCCTTCCAACCCTCCCATCCACACTCGTCTTGCATACTCGTTTCATCTATCTCCTTTCCGAAAACCGACTTCTGTGCATGGGCCACGAAGTTTCCATCGAACTGTACGTGCGCGCCCGCACGTGGTGTTTTGTGGAAGAGCCACACTCAAGGGGCCAAAGAGTCGCATGTGGCTCGCGAGCCACGGTTTGCCGACCACGGGCCCCCCAACCATCTTGCCTCCCTCCCGCCGGGGCCCCTCTGACCCTGTCCCTCTCCCAGCTGCGCTGCTGCGGCTGGAACTCTCCTCAGGACTGGTTCCGCGTCCCCAGCTTGAGCAGCAACAAGTCGGAGTTCCAAGTGCCCTGCTCCTGCTCTAACTCATCGG